CACACACACACACACACACACACACACACACACACACACACACACACGGGTCTATGTCTCCAAAGTCTATTCTAAGATTCTATGGTAATTTAAACCTGCAAACAAAAGGTGATGCGTGTATGTTATCTTTCATGCTTGTTGTGTTGTCAACATGTTTTCATAGTTTCCCAACACCCGCCCAGGAGCTCTCGGCATGAGTCCTACCACAGACTTGCCCAAGTGACCCCAGACAAGTTAGTCACCCTCACTTCTCCCCATCTCTAAAAGGACCAGTAGCCCTGAGCTCCAAATGTTAAATCCCTTCCACCTGTCATGTTGAACTGCCAGGAACTATGCTTATCAACAGGAAGACAGCATCTTCAAACTAGCATTGTAAAAGTGAGGGGCAGCTATTCTAAATCTTTGTTTAAATAATAGAAAATTTCACAAAATGATCAACTTCCAATTTACTTCGCATTCAAAATCTGCAATCCTAATAGAACGGGCTGAGATTTCTATAGATACTTCAAAGAAGCCATCGGACACTATGACAAGTAGGGGCAGGGGCCGAGCGTTTGAACTGGATTGGAAAGGCCAGAGTTCAACTTTTGTGTTCTGGAGAGCTAATTAAATAATTTCCGGCAGCCACTAGATACAGACCTCAAGACAAAGTAAGGGAGGGTTTACCCCCTTCTTGTCTAATGATATTTTTTGTCACATGTGACATTTATCAGAATAACCACTCCTTGGCTGCAGCATCGAGAGGTCTTCTGGCTAGATTTTTTTCTTTCTTAATAAATTCCTTCTCAAAGGAGGGCTGACGATACAGAATGCTTAAAGGTTGTCGTTGTTGAAGTCGGGTGCTGAACGGGCTGCCACCAAGGCAGTTTTCCTGCTGAGTCAGAGCAACTCAGAAATGTTTGGCCAGAGGGAAAAAATCTAGCAAGAACTACCCTTATCTGCCCAAGATGAGATTGCAATCAATTTCCCTGCTGCCCCCCCAATTTAAAAAAAAAACATCAACAACTCTCTTTTATCTTTGGATTCAGGTTCAAGGAGATATCTAAGCAGGTAGTTTCTGACTTTATTTGACTGTTGACACATTAGCCTACCAGGATAATATGTTCATGTGTTTAAAAAAAACACACTATGGTGCCTCCCAGTACCAGTCAACATTGACAAAGGAGAGAACTATTAAGACAATATGGGAAGCAGCCATGGTCTAGTGGAAATAGTGGAGTATCTAGAGTCAGATGACTTAGGTTCAAATCTCAAGTTTGTCATTTAATACCTTTCTGACCTTAATCAAGTTGCTAAATCCCTCCCTGTCCCCCAGCCTTAGTTTCCTCATCTGTAAAATGAAAGGTGGGACTAAATGATATCTGAGGATGCTTTCAGTTCTAAACCTATGATACTATGACTGTTTGATCGTATTCTTATCTAAGGCTAGAAGGAAAAGTTGAGTTACTCTCTTTTTCAAATAAAAAATTGTCTTACTCTTTCTTTTTACAGAAAAGGTGAGCAAAGAGCACAATCATACTAAAGAGAACACCATCCGGACTACCACGAGGTAAGTCACCCGTGAGGGTAATATTCATCTGACCGTGTCTAGCTTGTGCACTTAAGCATTTTATTCTTATGTCATGTACTTTAACATTGTACCCCAGCCCTCTGGCCCCTTGTCAATTGTTAGGCTTATATCCTACCACATCTAAGGCTGTGGCCAGCCAGTCCTGGAGTCTAGTGGAAAGAGCAGAGGGGCAGGGGTCTAGAGAACTGTGCTCTTGAGGCTGCTCTGCCAAGGCTCAGGGCCATAGCTCCAGGCCTGGTACTTCATCTCAATTAAATTCAACAAGCATATATTTAGTGCCTACCAGGCTTTGTGCCAGGCTTAAGTGAAGCAGTCCTTTCACTCACAGCTTACAGTCTACTAAAGGGAAAAAAAAAACCAAGAAAATAAATACTAAGTAAATATAAAATTAATTCAAGGTAGTTTCAGGGGTGAGTTAGATTAACAGGTAGATAAACTGAGTCACTGAGAGATGAATGTGTCAGCTCCGGGACTTAAATGCAGAATCAGAGAGTTAGAAGGGACCCTGACAGCCACTTAGTACAACCTCTACTTGAAAGGAATCTCCATTTTTACATACGTGGCCAGTGGTGATTCAACCTCTGGTTAAAGACCTGCCAGGAAAGGAAGCCCACTTTTGGACAATTCTAATTGTTAGGAGCTTTCCCCTCACATCAGACTTCACTTAGCTTCTCTCTTGGTTCTGCCCTCTGGATCCAAACAGAACAAAGGTAATCCCCTTCATGTGATGTTCTTTCAGATACTTGAAAACAGCTCTCATGGGCCCCTTGAATCTTCTCTTGTCCAAGCTAAACTTGCCCAGTTCCTTCAGTTGGCCCTCGTGGGACTTGGCCTCAAGGCCGTGTCACATCCTGGTTGTTTTCCAGCTTATCAATGTCCTTCCTGACTCCAAGGCTAGCCCTTTACCTAAAATGGCCTGGGACATCTTGCAGAAAACAGACAAATGCAAAGGAATTATTACCATTATTATGAATAATTCTGGGGGGAGAGGCCTCACAAAGGTCCTAGTTAACTTTGAGGAGCTCTTCCAGTGTGAAATTAAGTCCATCACCTGTAAAGGTAGAGGAGACCTTTGGTCATGCGTTGATCAAGCTATCAAGGAGTTAAGACTTCAGGAATGATATTGGACTTCTATCTGCCTTTTTCCTTTGCCTCATTTCCTGGTTACATGCAGACAAGACCCATTATATACTCAGTTCCTGGGCATTGAAAACTTTCATCCCTGTCATAAGGTAACCGGTAACCTAGCATTCATTAGACGTCTACCGTGTGCTAGAGAATGTGCGAAGGTTTGGGAACTCAAAGGAGGGCAAAACAACTGCTGACCTCACAGAAATCCCAGTCTAATGGAGGGATAACATTAAACAATTCTATAGGAAAGGAGGCATGCAAGATATATTGGAGTGATCTCAGAGGGAAGGCACTGAGATTTAGGAGCACGGGGAAAGGCTCCTTTGAGAAGGTGGGACTTGTAGGAAGAAAGCCAAGGAAGCAAGGAAGCAGAGCAAAGCCCTTTGGAGGTCCTGCTGCAGGCCTCCATGGCATGCCACGCCAGAGGCCCTTTGGATTCTTGACATCAACCCTCTGATTTTGAAATCGGCATAAGATGGGTTGTTTTCAAATAGGGCTTAGTGCCAAAAACAAGCAGAGCTAGCTGTAAGCCACTCTGAAGCAGTGACTTTGTGTTCTAAGTACAGTCAGAAAGGAGTAGATCAAATATGGGAAATTATTGTAGCACTTTCAGTGATCCTAACTATTCTCTTCCGTCTTCTTAATACCAATATTCTCTTGTTGCCATACACACACCCACACACACATACACACGTACACAAACATGTATGATATATATCATATATAGACACACTAATCTCTGCAGTGAAATGTGTATACACACATATACATATATACACATACAAATACACCGCAGTCTACTAGGTAATCCTCATCCACTTGGGTTTTTCTGTGTAATTTGTTACACCAGACTCTTTTGGGTGGTCACTGGTTTTGTCCAGGAGACTGCAGTGATCCAGGACTTGCTGTAACCAGCACAAGTATAGATGTCTTCAAAGAAATGTGTAATATAAAACAATGATGCTCTAACCGTGTAGTGAAAGCAAGAGATAATCTGGTGGCCAGCCCTGGTTTTCCACAATTCTCCTTGCAACATCAAAGGAAAGCAAGGAAGATCCCTACTGCATTAGGTAGACTACGTGTAGCAAACTTAAAGTCACAGAATCACAAGTTTTGAGAGTAGAACAGGATTTCATCAGTCATCTAGTCCAACCCATATATAAAAGGATCTCCATGATAATATACCTAATAAATAGTTTTCCAGCCTCTGTTTGAAGACCTCCAAAGTTGGAGTGTCTACCACCGCTCAAAGCAGCCCATTCCCACTTTTGTACAGTCTGAAATATTAGGGTGTTTTTCCTGAAATCATGTCAGAAGTTTCCTCTTTACAACTTCTATCTACTTCTCCTGGTTCTGCTCTCTGGTGCTAAACAGTAGAAGCCTTACTCTTCCATATGACAGCCGTTCAAATACTAGAATTCAGTTCATCTATCCCTTCTGAGTCTTCTTTCCACAGAGCTAAACATGTCAAGTTCCTTTAGGGAATTCTCATGCACTGTACAGACAAGGCCCTTCATCTTCCTAGTATTCCTTCTCTGAATGCTTTCCAGTTTATCAATGTACTTCTTAAAACGTGGTGTCCAGAACTGAGCACAGTACTCTAGATAAGTTGGAAACATTCATATCAGTGAAATCATAGATCCATTTGGTCCATCCTCTCACTAATGCAATATGACTACAAATCATGGAACACTGTGATCTCTGGAAAATCAAAATAATAGATAGTCTGGGGGGTGATGGCAAAAGTGCATTGTCACTCTTAATAGGAACTAAGCATATTACAAATGATGACCTATTCAAAAGAAATGGTATAGAACAGTTTTTTACCAAACTCAGATAGAAACCAGGGGCCAGTAATCCATACATAAACATCCCTTGGGGTCACATATTGATTAGTTTTAACATGTAACATTATCTATGTTTTATTATATTTTTATTTATTTATAAAAATATTTCCCAATTACATTTTAATATGGCTTGGGCTACACTTGGGGGTATGTGAGTTCCATATTTTACACCACTGGTATAAAATACATAATCAAAAACTTGTATAACTGGGAAAAGAGTTAGCCAATATCCTAGTGAGAATAGAGTACAACAGATACACACCCCAAGTGCTGCACTGTATCCAAGAAATACTATGTAACCTGGAGGAAAGCCTCCAGTGTGATGGGTAAATTTCCTATGGAGAATGTAATGCAAGAATATTTGACAAGAATAGCACTGGAGAAGAAGGCATGGAAGGCATAGATGGGTTGAAGTCTGCACCAGTGAAGGGAGTTCCCCTTACCAAAAAGATCACAGATGCATTGAGTTTTCACCTGAAGTCTGCTTTAGCGGCATCCCAGAAATTTTGATATGTTGTTCCATCAGTCATTTTCTTTAATTATTTCCATGATTTGTTCTTTGACCTATTCATTATGTAGGATTCCCTTGTTAAGTCTCCATTTGGGACTGTATCTTTTGTTTGTGGTCTCTGAACCAATTATTATTTTTTATTGTGTTGTGGTCTGCGAAGGATGTATTATTAACTATTTCTTCCTTTTAACATTTGTTTGCCATGTCTCTGTGCCCTAGCACATGGTCAGCTTTTATAAACTTTCCATGTGGTACTGAGAAATATCTATATTTATATATAGATCCATATTCTTTTGCTGTCCCACTTAGAAGATGCTGTAAGTCTTTTAATTCTAGTTTCTCCAGAAATTTGCTCAGTTCCATATTTTCCTTTTTTGGTTTATCTTTCTATTAAACTTATCTAAAACTGGAAGAGGGATATCGAAATCACCCGTTACTATTGTGTTACTGTCTATGTCTTCTTGTAGCTCAGATAATGTTTCTTTATGGATTTGGATGTTAAGGCATTTGGAGCATATAGGTTTATTACTGATAATTGGTTTGTTGTCTATAGTTCCTTTCAGCATAATGTAGTTTCCTTGTTTATTATTCCTTTTTATTTTTTGAATGTTTGTTTTTGCTTTGTTAGTATGAATGGAACTTCTACTTGTTTGGATACACATGATACATAGTAAATGTTTTCCCATCCCCTCAGTTTTATTTTGTGCATATCTTTGTTTTTTTAAATATAATTAATTATATATATGAAATCATACAAAACCTATTTCCATATTAACCATATAACCCAAAATAGCAAAATAAAAATAAATCAAGCACAAAAATTATACTTCAGTTCAACAGTTCAACACTCAGAGTTCTCTCTCTGGAGGTGGATAGCATTTTTTGATCATGAGTCTTTGAGAATTGTCTTGATCAGAGTAGCAAAGTCTTTCATAGTTGCTCATCATTACAACATTGCTGTTATTATGCACAATGATCTCTTGGTTCTTCTCACTTCACTTTGCATCAGTTCATAGAGGTCTTGCTATGTTTTTCTGAAACCACTCCCCTCATCATTTCTTATAGTACAATAGTACTCCATCACAATTTTGCCACAACTTGTTCAGCCATCTCCAAATGATCCCTTGATTTCTAATTCTTTGCCATGACAAAAAGAGTTGCTGTAAATATTTTTGTTCATACAGGTTCTTTTCCTTTTTTTTTTTTAATCTCTTTGAGATAGAGATCTAGTGACAGCATTGCTGGAACAAAGGGCCTATACAGTTTTATAGTCCCTTTGGCATAGTTCCAAATTGTTTTTCAGGATGGTTGGACCAGTTCACAACTCCACCGACAGCTTATTGGTGCGCCTATTTTTCCCTCACCCTTCTAGCATTGGTCCCTTCTGACAGGAGTAAAGTGGTACTTCAGAGTTGTTTTGATTCACATTTCTCTAATCAACAGTGATTTAGAGCATTCTTTCGTATGACTATAGATAGCCTTAATTTCTT